GTCCGCTGCTGCGAGAACAACGCCTTCGTGCCGTCTATCAAGACCAGCTCTTGAAGAAGGAGCAGGAGCTAGTAGAAGTGAAGGGCGTCCAAGTTAATGACTGGGTCGTCCACTAACTGGGCGAACACAACAGAGACACCAAGCATGGGATCCAGTACGACGCTCATAAATACTGCTCTCAGTGGTCGTTGCCAGCAAGAGTCGTGGAAATCAAAGACAAAGCTGTGATTGTCCAACCGTGGGGTGGAAATCAAAGACAAAGGTGTGATTGTCCAACCGTGGGGTGGAAATCAAAGACAAAGCTGTGATTGTCCAACCGTGGGGTGGAAACAGTCCTCCACGGCAAGTCCCTTTGGCTCACGTTCGACAACTCAAGGGCGCTATCCCCAAGTCTCTACAACAGATTAACCTTTCCCTTCTCGAGATGGCGCAACCCAAAAAAGGCTCTTTTCCTGTCCCTCCGTCTCCCCCGACATCCTCCTCATGGTCCTCCTTTCTTGACGCTGCTGCACTACCCCAAGTCACCCCTAAGTCCGCTCTATCGTCACTCAACCAACAACATCCAATCCCCATTCACGTCGACGCCCGTTCCTCTCCAACGGCTGGAGGACAGTTGGAACGAAAAACAGGTTCAAGGAGCCGTTGCCGCTACCAGGAGAGTGCCTGGTCCTGATATCAGTCAGTGACATGCAGGTCTGAAATCAGTATTAATTGCTTCCTCTTTCACAGCAGCCTCTGATTGGCTCATGATGCTCCCGTCCTCCTTCCATTTGAGCAATACTTGTGCAATTTGACGTGCCAAACGCTCAAAAGGGGACGGTGTTGAGAAGTCTATTCTACACGTTCGATCGTCATCAGCAAGCACCATGCTTGATGCAGCTGTTCCTTTTTACCTTGCTAGACCCTCTGAACCCAGACCTGATGCTATTTAATCCCATTCCGGCTACCAGGAAAGCCAAAGCGCTGGCTGCGTGATATGCAGGGGTGGCCAAGTACGCCCGTGGTGCTAGGAGTCCCTTCGCCCCGCCTGTCAGTTGGCGAAGGGCGCTCCAGAAGGCGTCTTTATTAGCCCAGGCGACTGGGAAGGCCAAGTAACACGACGAGTAAGACGTCAGACAGAAGGATTTTTTCTCGAAGCCAGTAGTAGGCCGCGCGCACGCCACGGAGGGCGAACAGCGCGCGGACCGCCACCAGGAGGCACGCGATTGTGGCGAGGTTCATCGGCGAGAGCGTGAGGTTGATGGCGTCCGGAACGCTGTAGAGGTGCATCGCAAAGTTAATTGCAGAGTGTGAGATTTTTGCAGTTGTTTTGCAAGAAAAAACCAGCTAGAAAAAACCAGTCCGAGAGCCAGTAAAAAAACAAACAAAAACAGCTAACATGTCCCACACCCGCCGTACCGGTTGTACTGCCTGGCGAGAAGGAGACGCTTGTTTCAGGTACCACAGGAGGTGTTTGGCACCCAGTAAAACGACCCAAACTAGCCTTTTCTGTTCTCTCGTTTTCCTCATACACCACCATGAACAGACACAACCCTTTTCCTCAAAGTCTTTCGCGCTGAGATCAAGTGAGCTGCACTTCACGGACCACACAGCGCGGAACAGCCTGCGGGGGCCTGTTTGTTTTATGAACGACAACCTAATTCCATCACTCCCGAGACAAACAAAATTTATCAATGGAATTCCGCGCAATTCAACAGCTCGGGTTTGCCTCTGTTGTTTCCTTTTGCTCCTCCTTTCGACGTTCATCACGTCACTCTGTCTCCACGAGTTAATTTATGGAAGGACAAATAGTTTCCTTCGAATCGCGATTGGACTTGATGAGTTTCTCCCAATCGATTTTGAAGGGGGATTCATTCGGTACGACGACGCCATCCGAGAATTAGCTGGGCAGTCCAGCAGCGTGTTACCTGGTGATCCCGCCGACGTTGCGGAACTTGACAGCGAGAATACGACTGAGGTGCAACGGAAGCTACTGAAGCGTCTTGGGACAGAATATGGATGTTCAAGTGATCCAGCGATCAGCGCTTTGAGGGGGAAAAAGACTGCCAGCCTTCAGTGGCCGATTGACGAGACTCTTGTCCCAACAAATGAAAAGTCAGGAAAGCCAGCTAAAATTGCGCTGCTGTTCTTGTTGACCGGACCAATGAGTCAAACCCGTGTTTGGACGGAGTGGTTTAAAAATGCAATCGAGTGGTCAGCTTTGCAGGGGCAAGCTGTCAACCTCCTACGAGTTTACGCACACCAGTCTGGCGAATTTGTCCCTCAGGATGAATTACCAAAAGCGATTCATAACGGATTGGTTCCAACTGTTGAAAATTCTTGGGGAAATCTAAACTGGGTCGAATATCAATTATTGCATGAGGCCATTCAAGACACGCAGATTGACTCATTCATCTTCGTTTCGGGTGTGTCAGTTCCCGTCAAGCCGTTTAGCTTCATTTATCGGGAGTGGGAGAAGAATCCGCGGAGTCGATTCTTCTTTCCAAATGTGAATATGCCATTCATACGGAAGCATGATCAGTGGGTGGTATTGAATCGGTATCATGCTCTCACTTTGGTTCAAAATCCGAACCTCTGGGTGTGTGGCAGTTGGTACAGTGGTCCTAGAATATGGGCATCTCCTGACGAGTATCTCATTTATTACGCATTGAGCAATGTCATCGGCCGTGCAACATTTCAGACCCAAATCAATGCTGGCCTTGTTCATCGATTCCCTCTGCAGAATTGGTACCCACTGAAACAGGTATACTGTAAGTGTTGACCATTGGAATTATTGAATCCTTTTTGTTGTTTCAGTAGAGCCAGAATTTCGGCACACATACACTTGTTGGAGGTCTAGACAAGAACCGTGCAATGTACTAGGGCATCATTTCGTTCGACCCTCATCTCCCTCAGAGTTTTATAAAGTGAATGCGGGTGAATTTGAAAGCGCACTACTATCCAACCCATTCACCTGGTTTGCGCGAAAATTCTCGCCGGATTGTCGAGTAGACTCGCAAACGACAGCTCTCAACATTCCATCTAGTGGAACGTCGTGGGAGTTGACGCTATTTGGATTCACTGTATGGTCCAAGAAGAGAGATCCTCAAATCCAATACCTCCCTGAATTCTCTGATTGGCTGATCGCAAAACTATCCCAGTGGAACACATCCCTTCTACAAACGAAGGCGACTTAGGGTAAACTTTTTTTGCTCCATCTGTCGTGACAGCGTTGTGCGTTCTTTTTTAACCCATAAATTGGGTTCTTATTGGTAACTTTTCCAAACTAAATCCACTACGATCGCATTCTCAACTAGCAACGATGATTTCAGATAGATCTCCTGTTATTGTGAAGACAGTCGATTCCCGTCCGCTAAAACTGTGGTCCTAACAGTTATTGCCCTCTGTGCCTTTCTATAGCAAATGGGGAATCAGCCAAGTGAGCTGGAGGATCCTATGCCTTCAGAAAGCGTTCAAGCTCGAATGGCTGCGGTAAAGAAAGAAAGTTATTTTTCTTTCTGTTCATACTGATTTTTCAACAGATGGAAGCTGGACTGCGAAGAACAGAGCTTGTAGGATCCATCGCTCGGGGAATTTTTGGAGTGTGGAAATCGTGTAATCAGTGTTGTACAAAATTAGAAAACTGTTCTGAAGAAAGATTTGAAAAGGAAATAGCAAACAGACGATTGTATTATTCTGGTGCTGGGGGAGAAGAATGAAAGAAGCTCATTTTCCAAGAAGTTCGTTTTGAAATCTGTTTTTGATTTGTCCCAACAAAAGAGCATTTTATCCGTTACTGAGACAACTGTTGCATGGAAATTGAATGTGAAGAGAACTCTCTGGGGCACTCTCAATTTGATGGACATTCCATAATCTTTGTATCATAGGTCTAATCAGTTTGGGATTTGGGTTTTCAAGTACCGGTGACATCGAGACAACTATGTGACAAAACGTGTGAAAGAATCGTTTTTTAAGGTTTGCCCGTTGGAGAAAATACTAGCAAGTGTTGCATACAATGTGTGACGTCTCACTCTTCGTTATTGAATGGTGTTCACCACTGTGCGAAAAGATGGCAACTGTGTCCAAATACAAAGATGAGATGTCGCTGTCAATTCAACGGTCTGAATCGAATGTCGTGCAGTGACGTCAGACTGAACTGAGCCTATCCGCAATTTCTGTGACTGATGCACGTCATTCTCTGCGCCTGTTCTCACGAAATGTCAAACGATGTTCCACGCAGACGGAAGCGAGATTTGTTTGGCCACCTCGTTTATTGCTGCATCGGAAGAAGAAAACCTCAGAAAACCGAATTCATTTCCGTCTCCCCAGTTTTAAATCCCCAGACGAATCCAACTAGAAGGAAGAGCCTGGAGCAACCAAGACGACTGAGAGGTCGAAGTCGATCCCTAGAATCCCTTCCTGCTATTCTGTTAGTCAGAACAGACAGTGATATCGGGATCAGCTACTTTCCGATGACGGAAGAGGGTGCGTTTGTCCTCCATCAAGGATACGGAAGGAAAAAGCTCAAACAGAAAATGTATTTCAATCGCCGAAAAAGAAATAGCGCAACACTTGATGAACAGCAGCTCAATCTGGCTGTAGCACGCCGACGAAGTCATGGCGACACATTTATCGCGGATGCCGGAGGAAATTCGAGAAACGACGATGAAGAGCTTGGCGGTTGGGACAAGGCATCTTCAGTTCCTTCGAGTGCCGATGTCTCCGTGTCATTACCAGAGGATGGAACGGATCCCAGTGAACCATTAGCAATTGAGCTTCCTAGACTGGAGCGTGGCATCGATGAACCGCATCAAGGGGATGATTTAAATCTTGCTGCTATGCGTCGTCGAGCGTCCGTTAGTGGAGTTATCTGAATACTTGCGGATCAAGGATTCCATGTTATTCTTGATATTTTGGAAATCTCTCGTTTTTTCGTGTTCCGTTCCTTGTCAATTATTTGCGTGTTAGCAAGTTTTTTCTGTAATCCATTTAAGAACAAACAAATCACGAAAACAAACAAATCACTTCTCTGCTCCAAATCGCATTTTTTGCATGGATTGAACAAACTGATAAATAACAGATTTCCACTCAGAATCGTTTTCACCTTCTTTCGCATTAGCAACGATCCAACGAAAACGATCTGGATTGTCTGTCAATGATTTCAATTCTTCAAGTCCCAATCCTGTCGTCAGTGCATCGACCATTGGCGTTACCTCTTCTGTTGATTGATCGAATATATTGATAACAATCACAATTTGGGTCATACGCAACTCATCTTCGTTGATGAGGCGACGAATCCATTCGCGTGGAGTTCTAAAATCAGAATCAAACACTGAAACGACAAAAACGAGTCCATCGAGCGCGATCATTCGATAAAATAATGGCCACAATCGCTGAAGAGCACCAGAAACCTAACGAAAGAATTAAATGACGGAAGAGATGATCGATCATGCAGAAGAATATCGAATTGAAGATTATCGAACAAGAGATGAAAATGATTAAAACGTTTATCTTACATCCCAAATCCCGAATTGAATCGTTCCTCTGACAACTTCTTCATAATGGAATGACGTCGACGGTTCCATTGATGTCTCGATCGTTGTCCATCCAGGAACGACTGTCGAATACATCAACGTCGTTTTTCCTGCATCGAGTATTTTTTTCCTCTATTCTCGTGTTTGCGGTCTTACCCGAATTGCTCGGTCCTAAAATGAGGATCTGCGATATTCCTTCTCCGTTGTTGTAAACACCTTTGAACATTATCGCTTGGTCCTGAATGGAGCCATTTTTACAACATGTGGCTCCCATCAAGACTAAGAATTGGTCATTTCAAAGAATCTCCTACAAACGCAATTATTTGGTGCTTAAAGTCATGCAGTCAACTCGAAGTCCCAAATGTCTCAATTCGTCGGCGGAATTGCTGAAATTTCTAGCGATACAATCAAACTTTCTGTCTTCGTTTCCGCGTGCTCTTAATTTTTGAAACTGGGTTTTTCGGCTTTGTCCTGTCCGTCGTGCAGAACCTACAAGGCTACTTTCTGTTGGCCTTTTGTTGATTTTCTTTTTTAAGCCAGTCTTTTTTGTTTAGCATTTTTAATTGTGTTATTTCCCTTTTTCGTGTCCATGCATCCTCTTCGTGTTCCTTGTGCTCGACATCAGGTTATCGGTGAGAACTTCGGACCTTCACCCCACACTAAAGTTGGTGCTGTGCTGTCATGCGTTACTCTTCCTATTGCTGGTATCAACTCATTACTTCTCCTCTCTGCTCTCGACATCCAACAGAATGAACCCCTCGAGCAGGAGCTTAGTGGTTGGGCTGGCCCTCCCAAAGGCAACCTTCCGGGTATCGCGCGGAAAAGCAAGCTTCCAGGAATTGGTTCCAGTCATCGGGGAAGCGATATAAACATGGAAAATATGTTTGATGCATTCCTGAATCCACCGGAGCTTGACGAAAAGGAGGTTGCTTCAATTAAGCCAGAATCCAGACCGCCTTCAAAGGAAAAACCAAATGTGGAGATACAGCCATCACCGTATCCTGAGAGACGACGCGGGTTGCCAGCGCAAAAAATAGAAATCAAGGTCCCATCGGTCGAAGCATTCAAAGCCTTGATGTAAGTTCAGATTGCTAACATCGAAGCTACTGTTGTTTCCTGTAGAAAAGGCGCATCTGTCAAGGCGAATGCGTCGCTTGGACAAGACCTGAGTCAGGCAATGCTCGCACAAATAGCTCAACAATATGCCAATCAACACATGCTGCAGATGCCACAGATGCCGTATGGCGGTCCATTGGAGCAGCAATACGCAATGCAAGCCATGCAGCAACAGCAGTCAATGCAGCCCATGCAGTATGGCTCTCCAATGGACCAACAACAGCCAATGCAGCCCATGCAGCAACAGCAGCCAATGCAGCCCATGCAGCAACAGCAGCCAATGCAGCCCATGCAGCCCATGCAGTATGGCTCTCCATTAGACCAACAACAGCCAATGCAGCAACCGCAAAGCCAAGTACGAATGAGCGCTGCTCCTCCTCAGCACCCAAAAGCTCAAGGCCAGGAATTCCCAAGTTTGCCCTCCGTTCAACCTCAGAAACTTGCAGGTCAAGAAGGACAGGTAGCCCAACCTCGACAGGTTCCAAGATATCGTAAGATCACCTGAGCTGTTTTTTGTTTGTCTGTTACTTTGAGCAACAAACACACACACTATTTGAGCAAAAATAAAAAAATTACTTTGGTTAGAGTTCCACTGGCGAGAGATTTGAACTAAATGACTGATCTGCAATCTCTCTCCAATGGTTTGCTCCTAGATAGATATGATCATGGAAATACATCGGGTCTCGCTCCAGGCCTAGATTCAATGACCCTGCGAGCACCCATTTTCTACCCGGCCGAAGCACAATTGTTGTGTCCGGTTTGGCGCCAACCGCAGCAAGCATCTCCAGCAAGAATGACTCTGCAGTGAGGAAATCATTTGTAATTCTATTTTGATGACTTACGGCTGAAACACTGACTCTTCAGGATGAATTCTTGTCCTTGAGAGATGGAAGTATCAGCAAGGAGCGCTTTGCATGAATCCCTTGCCAACGACTCTAATCGCCAATAGGGAAGATCAAGTCGCTCCTGTCCACGATCTAGAGCATGGGGACGGATCAAACCAACCGCGTATCTACCACCAATAACAATCTCCGGCATGGGACGGTTCAAGATATCTTTGATCGACCCGGGGGCAGGAAATCCAGCTTTTCGAGCTTCCTTGCAGTATGGGAGTGGTGCGTAGATCAAGTGCGCTTTGATCGCGTCCCTGCACTGACGATGGCTTCCCGTTCCTTGAATCAAATGGCACCGACGAATACGACTTCTTGAAACAAACGAGGGATCTGAGACGTTGAGTCCCAATAATTCGCACGCTCGTCTATTTTGAACGAGAGCGATTTCTTTGCGTGATTTAGAACACGAGAATGCGATTCGCACACCATCCTTTGGGTCGAAGAAGAGCCGACCTCCAACCAATCGTGGCGTCGATCCCTGATACAAATCATATGAAGAAGGCTTAAGACTTCTCTTGAACGTACTTCACACTTTCGGATGAAGCCCTTCTGGTAACACGGAAAATGGCAAATTCCATCCGCGTCTGTGTTTTTCTCACAAAAAGCCTTCAACAACACAGCATGAGCTCTTAGTAGTCCCAAATTCATGAAAGGGACAGAAATCAGTCGCGGTGATAGGAAGCGTGTTGAAAGCTTTGGATAGTTACCCATGTGCCACACTTTGAGTTCAGACATACTGCAGGGAAAAACATCGTGGGGTTAACCAGTCTTCTTCGTCCCTTTACTTGACTCACTAACTACATCGTGGTTGATGCAACTCACCTTGAGCGATCGTCCAACGTTGAGATAAACGTTGAGAAATCACTTCCAATGAAAAGAAAAGGGGAAGGTTGAAGATTTATTAATCCCGAATGTTGTCGGAATTGCGGAGGTAAAATTGTGTAATACGGCTGTCCAAGAAGAGAAGCTTTAAAGGCTTGAATGTATTCTCCAACTCCCTTTTGACTTCCCTGAATGTGGGTGATATAACGTGGCGATCCGAAAAACACGAATCCTCTCTTTGATACAAAACGGTTCACGGCTAGACGGACGAGCGAGTAAAACGCAGATCGGAGGCTTGGCTGGCGTTCCTCCAGAAATGCGAAATCTCCGATAATAAGAGGGATTCTGTAGTTGATGCGGGGTGGGTAGTGCGGCAATGTTAGAGCGCTTTCCAGAATGACACTTTCGACTTCATCGAGAAAGCGTCCGATAAGCGTCTGAATCTTCCAAAACGTTCTTTTAAATTCAACTGGGTGATGCAAAATTTTTCTGATTCGAGGATGGGACACAAGCTCCCGAAAGGGAAGAAGAATGTTGGCCTTCAAAGCGCGACGGCTAAGAGTGTCAAATCTTGGAGCATGTCCGACATCGAACATTCCCGTTGTCCGATCTGGATCCCCTGATTCCATCGACGTGTACGTGCACTGACGCTTGATACGAGTGACCGGGACGCATCGAGGATCAACCATTCCTGATCAAGATATATCGAACCTCAATTGACGATTTGCTCTTACCAAGATAGCATTCTACTGTAATGAATTGCTCGTCCCTGCATCGATCTTCTTCTTTCAACAGACGCTCCCAATCACGAAGGGATTTATCTGTCGCATCTTGACTCTCCGCTAGAATGGAGAGAACTAGAAATAGAAGCACAGCTCGACAACCATCTTGGAACCACTGAACGAGGCGCCGCATTCGGGCGCACCCGAGAGTTGACTGCGTGCCTAGAATGTCTGTTCACCGGTGTGATTGCGAAAGTTTTTTGTTTTGAACGGAAGTTTTCAGGGACATTGTTATTTGGGACATTGTTATTTGATTTTGGTGCATGTGTCATTGGATGGATGTGTTTAATGTTAGCTTACTCCACTAGAGAGGTTCACACTCGATCATGGGCCAACGGCAACCATGCATGACAGTAACGGACTTCCCGGTAGAAATCAAACTCAGTCGAACGCAAAATGAAGTTGTCTTTCTTCAAACTCTCCGGAATCGGAGCGATTTGCTCTTTTCTTGTTCTCGCTTCGTCTGCCCGGAATTGTGTTCCGCGGTACGAAAATTATCAAATTGAATTCGTCTTGAGTCAAGATACGACGGAATCCTACAAACATTTCGTGCCAAGTCTAAAGGATGTCTTCATGCCGAAACTCGTTAGCGCTATCTCAACTCTCTACCCAGGAAGCAAATTTGGCTTGACAAGTTTTGCTGACTGGACATCCCGAACTGGAAGTTTGTCCGACAGTTGCTATGAATTCCATTCAGCGTTGACCAGTGACGCCAACAAGTTCCTTCAAAGTGTTAAACAAATACCACAAGGACATGGAGGCGATCTTCCAGAAACATCGTTGATGGTAAGTGCAAGACCTTTATGGAGCGCCGCAAGCTCCTTTTTTCTTTTTTTAGGGAACCGCATTGTCAGTGATGCAGAAAAATATGGGATGGTCCACTTCTAAAACGACTCCCGATGGCAAGAAACGAATCATTAAAATTGTTGCAGTAGCAACAGATTATGGTTCGCTCATGCCAAGTAAGAAACATCTATTTTTTTGGCCAACCGTTTAATTCACCACAAATATCAATCTTTTCTCTTGTAGATGATATCTGGTTCGGCTGGCGGTGGCGTGGGGATGGTTCCGACAATTGCTGGAGTATTCCACCCACACCTCAACAAGTTGGAGCCGCTTTGCGACAAAAGGATGTCTTCTTCCTTGGTTTGATCAGTGGTAGCCGGGCTCGTGGTGTCTGGGAAGACTATCTCAGACAGATGGCTGCTCCAGGTCTTATTCGTGATCTTGCCACAACGAACCCAAGCTATTTGATTCAAACAGTTGTTGATGGTATCAAGGAGATCATTTGCGATCAAGAGACGACAACTTCAACGAAATCAACAACCAGAATGCCTACAAAACCCACAACGACAACAACAACAGCAACAACCAAGAGGGCAACAACAACTACAACTGAGATGTCAACTGAATCGACAACAGACGCCGTTCCCTCCATTATCCCCGGATATACTTTCACAGCAGCCAGCAAGTATACAACCACCTCCGATGATGCCACATCTACATCAGATGTGGATACTGTTACCTCAGAAGCTCAAACATCCACTTCAGATGCTTATACCTTCACTTCTGAGGAAGGGTCTGAGACATTCACAGAAGATGTCTACACCGTCACTGATGCTGATACAACAGCCACCTCAGATGAGACCCCATATACTTCTGAATCGGTTTCATCAGATGTTACATTCACCTCGGAAGATGCCTCCACAATCACAGATATGGTTACATATACTCAAGATGCCTCTACTGATGCTTATACAACAGTCGCTCCGGCAGGCTCTACAACCAGTGAAGCCCAAACAAAAACCAAAGTTAGCACAGTTGGCCCTACAAAAGGCAACACATCAACGGGTTCCCAATCTACTGCGACCGAGGAGGCCCAAAATGGTGTACCGGTTGGTGTGATTGCTGCCGGAGCTTTCGGTGGTGTTGCCCTTCTTGGTGCCGCAATCGGTGGTGGAGCTTACGCATACAGCCGGAGGGGAACATCCTCAGGCCCAGTCAACTATGAGGAAGGAGGAGATGACGCCACATTCGAGCGTGAGGAAGAGCGCGATCTTCAAGCTGAATCTGACGCATTTGCTTAGATTAATATCATTGAATAAATGTACTTTGTGTTGTTTCACCCATCAATAAAGTGGTGGTAATCAGAGATTTTTGAAGTGATGCCCAATATGAGAACAGATAAGAACGGAAGTCTTACTGATGTGAATCCTGAAGGAACCCGTTGGGACAGAAAAAATTTACCGATTGCCACCAAAACTCTGAAATGGCCTTCTATTATTGCATCAGCCCCATGGCTTATCAATTTTCTCAGCCTTGTTTCTACTTTGCTCCTCCGCCTCCTTGTACCGTTGTCCTTCAACCGCCATCTTCACACAGAGCTGCGGCAGCTGTTCGTGCCGTTGAAGCCGCCATAGCGGCACAAAGGGCAGCAGAACAGGCTCAAGCGGAAGATGCACTCAGAGCAGTGCAGGCTGTGCAGTTGGTTCAACCAGTGAGTCAACATTTCCGAACAGGCATTCACAGTCTCATGTCTCATGTTTCATTTTCAGATGCCAGCGTATTATGTAGCATTTTGTTAGTTAATGGAACTACCATTTTTGTTCCGTTCAAAATCTTTTTCCTGAAGTGAAATGTGTCAAAAAAAATTACCCAGTGTTGAGGTATAAGAAAACAGATTCTTTGGAACACACGCATTTACGTTTCCGTCCAAGCCCTCAACACATCCAAGTACCAAGGATCTGACAAAAGCACGTCTCAACTATCTCGAAGGGGGCACTTACCGAGCTCTCCCATTTTTGCGCTCAGATGTTCACAAATTCTTTCTAGATTGTGGCCTTTGTTGTACCAATACCATCCAACAAGAAGACTCCCATAATCGCATCCCGTTTCGTCAATTAGCTGTCAAACAAATAGGTCAAGCTATTAACATCATATCTACTCACCAAAATGTTTCCTTTGCTGAGGGATCTTGGCTTCTCATTGATATAGCGTGTAAAGGTGCCGATAGCCTCGTCGTAGGGCTCGTTGACGCTATCGAACTGAATATTTTCTAATTTAATTGCAGCTGTTTTTAAGAATAGTCGACGGGATGAGATATTGATAACCGTGCTGCATCCCAAATAAGCGACTGTTGTCTTGCAATGTTGAAATAAATTTCTATGAATCGAATAAACGGCAGGGTTTGATTTTGTTGCTGGAATCAGTTCAATTGGCCCTGGTTGCTCCCCTTGTGTCTTGGTAAAGTTCGACATCATCACCTTATACTTGCTTTTGAAAGCGGAAAATGGTCCTGACAAAAATCAATGAAGCAAGCGTTATTCATCGCGCACTTACCTTCAAGAATGTAAACCATCGATGGATTCGAACCCGATGATTTCAGCGTGTTCAAAAACCCTGTTACGGGGGCTGAAGCGGGTTTGTCACCATAAACGATCACTGTTAGCTCGTTTGTCTTTTCTTGAATTGACTGCGCTACATCTGATGAATGTTCAGCATTTACTATGTGGGCCTTATCATAAGCCTTGCTGGAAAAAAAAAGAGTTGAAAGGGAGCGGTGGAAAGCAATACGACCTACCGACTGCGACAGTCGACCAAGCAGTAATAGTCTGGCCATTCAGCGACATGCTGCGCCAGGCAATAAACATGGGACGGGCTAGCCAACGTCGTGGTTAACTCTCCAATAGTTGGCCCTTTTGAGGCTGGATCAAAGTTACATTTAGCGAAGGAAGGCCCACAACCCATGATTTTTTTAAACTGCGAAAATTAAAAAAAAAAACGGTGAAGGAACTGCAAACGAGGAAAACCTACAAATTAGCTCCGATAGATTCTTCTTCACCGAACTATCTCATACGACCTCGACCATCCAAATGGTTTTCCGAAACGAAATTTTGGGGCGCCACAGGCGATCAACAAAAAACAACACACCAAGGAAACGCGGGATAACACAAAAGAACAAGGGATTTGACAAATAATAACACTCTATTGGCGGGGAACACCGGACCTGTTAACAGCCACTTAAGACATAAGTGGGACAGAACGGTCAATTGCAAAAAATATGCAAGAAAAAGCTGGATCTTGTTTGTAGATGGATACTATCTCGCCACATACAGTGCGTCAGCGTATACTGGTATCCCGACCATTGTGCCAGAGTTCATTTTTCCAGACCCGCTTGCTGCTATGCACTTCACAGCTACTGATTTGAGCGCTCGCGAAGGCATTGTAAGCACCACTCTTTTGTCCGTGCTTCCATCAAAAACAGATGCCATCCAGCGTTTGCTTGGAATGCCACCGAAGATCTGCCGCTTCTAAGCTTTTCAACTGCCTGTCTCCAAAAACTGTGCGATTGAATGAGGAGTGTGAGAACTTCAATCTGAGCAGTTGTGTCTTAGAGTTGGAACAGACACAACTGCTCAAATTGGCGTTCATAGATAGTGTCTCTCACAATTCACAATGGAACTGGATGTTCTTCGACACCTCTTTCTCATCTATTACGTATTACAGTCGGGCAGTCACGTTGATTTAGCGTCAGCTAACGGGAGAAAACATCAATTATGAACGAGGCTTCTCCTTCTTCTCTCTAAAGAGACTGTAGAGACCAACACCAGCCACCTTCACGACTTTGAAGCGGACACCTGGAATGTCGCCAACTGCATGACCCTTGCGTCCGAAACCCGCGACGAGAACTTCGTCATTTTCATCGATAAAGTTGAGACAGCCATCACGAGGAACGAATGCAGTGATTTTCTTGCCGTTCTTGATCAATTGCACACGAACACATTTACGAATGGCCGAGTTTGGCTAAGAGAATAAAATAATAATATATGTGAAATACAAAGATGATAACGCGTACCTGTTTAGCTTCGATACCGAGCTTTTCAACAACAATTCCCTTGGCATGGGAGGAACCTTGGAAGGGGTTCGATTTCCATCGAGTGCCAAGGTTGGCCTTCTTGTAACTGTTTGTCCGCCCATCTTTGCGTTCGACGACGATTACGGAGCTTGCGCGCTGTACGGATACCGTGGGGCTGACCCGAACCCATTTTCGACGCGGTCGAAGGCTAATTCTTTAAAGCGCTTGGGGGTGGTCCTTTTGCCAGATTGTTTGAGTTTCTGTGGGACGCTTTTGGGACAATTACAGAAAGGGTCCCAGGATGGCACGACCTTGAACCAGGAGAACCAAAAAAAAAAATAAAGTCTCTTCAATTAACTCGGTTGAGCTAGAAACGAGCTTGAACTGAATTGAGGCACTGACGCATTTTGAGAATGTGTGTGAGTCAGAAGAACAGAGGCATTGACACATGGTGGTGCTTCTAATGTGTGTGAACACCTTTTATCACAGAGCGTTCAAAGAATCACCAATCGATTTTTGGTAGCATCTGCAAATATTTAGTAGTTTTATAAAAAAAACCAAAGCTGGTAAAAATCGTTAAAAACGGAATTCACATCGAGGATTAAACACTTCTATGATTTTCTGGCTGCTGGTTCTCAGAATCGGTTGGCGGCTTCTCTTCTTCATTATTATTAGACGTCTCTTGACCCAGCCATCCTTCTAGCGTCATTTCTGGTCCTGTGAACGCTCTATATGGGGCAGCCCTTTCCCCCAGGGGATCATTCAAGTATGGAGCTGGAGGAAGTTCCCTCGGTGAAATCAAAACGTGTGTGCTATCATCCACTTCATCGAGTCCTAATGCTCTGGCAATGGTAAGATTCACTTCTTTTTCAATCAGTCGACCACAAACAAATGCCACCAGACTAGAGAGAGCAGTCAGAACGCTAATGCTTCCCAGCGCAACCATTTCTAGCGTCGATCTCCAGGTGGCTGGTCTAAAATTGATGTACTCCTCAATCCGTTTCGCATCAAGATCTAAAACACGCTGAGGCGATCCTCCGAATTGAAGCAGTGAATATCCTGTAATCGTTCGCAAGTCCTCAACCTCAGCAGCCTTCCTTCCAATCAGCCACCTATCAAGTAATCCTGTTGATTTGTCAGATTCCAGAAACGAATGACCGTTAAGAACCAGCTTTTTATTTTCGGCGACCCCCGGGGGGGATTCAAACAATTTCGCCAACTCCGGCACATCATGCGAGTCAAACGCCGTGCTCCTTTGTAACCTTTCTTCAGGAGTTGGGAGTCTATCCGCGTTCCGAACAAAAATTTGAGGATTTATTCCAGTCACTTGCTTCTCACTTCTCGCGATTAAATCGATCGCTCGTGCCAACTGGATAACACGGCTGTCATGTGAATGGCCGAATTCTGGAAGTGAGACACGTTCCGCAAAACGAATTGTTGAAGACAAGAAAACGAATGTTGTGAACAAGGCGTAGAAGTGGTACCGTAGGGGCATTGTGCTGCTGCAAGTCATGAGTCCAATGAACACGGAGATTGTGTTTGAAAAAGCTAAGTGAGGCGAAGGCGAAATGAGGAGTGCCATGACGAAGAGAATATGGATAACGATCAACAACCGTAGCACCCTGCGATATGGCAAGGCCTTCTTGACCAAATCAGGGGGTGGCTCAGCCAGACAAGGGTGAGCGGGTAGGACGCTCGGTGGAAGCGGGACGACCATTATACGGAAAAAAAAAAGCCTTCGGAGTGGGAAGCTGATACTTCTGCTGGAAGGCAGTTCACCACGTCGATAAAATGTCATCACATCCACCAAGTGGAGCCTTAATATTTGGCGCTCTATTATTGTCGAACAGATTCCGCCTGGGACAGTTAAGCATGTCAATAATTGGTTCTATCTGATTCCCGTTCCGATAAATCTCTGATGAACTATTAGAAGCTCAAACCCTTCACACAAAATCCAGCGATGGATTGTCCCAAGCATGTTCCATTGGTGATGCGTGCCAGCTGGGTTCAGTGTTATTAGAATAATATCATTCTGCAATCCCAACAGAGCATACGACTCTTTCGCCTTTTACTGGAGTTTTTGTTTGCTGTAAAGTCGTGTGTGAATCTGCTTATTCGAAGAGTTTTATCCGAGCGTTTGTCTGAGAGTTTGTCTGAAATAGTGTTTTATAATCTGGTTTTATAATTCGTTTTATAATCTTGTTTATAATTTGTTTTATAATCGTTTGAGTATTTGTTTCATATCTGATTTCCACAATTTAATCCTCTGTCGTATCCGGAACTCTGCTCCCCAGAGCAGGTTCCAGCAAAAGAAATGCCGGTGGAGCTGCTTCTAAACCCCGCGGGGTTGCAAGAAGCCCTAGCGGAGGCCCTAGCAAAAGCAATGCTGGCAGTACAGATGCCACTACCACCAAGCATGTTGGAAGTAGTGGTAAAGGCATCGCTGGAGGTGTTACAAAAGCACACCCAGCAAATACAAACAGAAGCACTGCAAAGAAAAGTAACACTGCGCAAGCCAGCACCACAGCAACAAACATCACAGCACAGAGCCACACAACCCCAAGCACCACAACAACCAACACAAACACAGAAAAGAAAAACTTACGCCCAAGCACTGTTTCAGAAAAAAGATGCCGTGCAGGTAGCGGACGCCCCACTACTAGGGAAACCACAAACCAGCCAGGACCACGCAGCACCAGCAAGCAAGTTTGTGCGCCAAGCAACTCCCCCAAGAGAAACGAGGTCGGTCACACTTGCAGCCTTCTGGATCATCGACACCCCAGACGCGAAGGAAGTCTCCTACAAAGATTGGAGATCCAACCTTTACGAACAGGGGGCACCAGCGAGGTCGATCATAGAGCTGCGACACCCCTTGAGAAACGTCTTGGAGGTGATCACCACGCAAGAACAGATACTCGAAGTGATGAATGCGGCAGCAAAGCTCAACAGCAACATCAAGAGAGCCCTTCCGTACGAAAAAGTGTGGGACCAAGCTCATCCACTGACAACACAGCAAATTCAAAGAATGGCATTATCCTATGCCAAGAGTATCAAGTACTCGCCGTCAAACTTGGTAAGGCAGTACCTGCGTTCAGTGGCAGTGGTGGGAGCCAACCTCCTGATGCAAAACAAAGAAGTGGAGCGAGCACAGGAAGTCAAGGCGGTGCTAAACGATGTTGCCCAAACATCGCATGTGTCAACATCAAAGGGAACCTCAGTGGAAGAATGCAGAAACTGAGCGAAATCATGATGGAGAATCAACTGGACATCGTCATTTTGACAGAAACAAAGATCTCCATACATGTCCCGGAAATGATGATAGGCACGAACAAGTTTAGCGTGGCGTCGGTTGGAAATCAATACATTGGGATTGGGGTCCTGCCTCCCCATTGAGTTTGAATTCCAAGGCCTCAGGACAATCATAGTCAAAGCCAGCAACTATGTCATCGTCGGAGCCTATGCGCCACATGAAGGAGCGGAAGAAGGAGCATTGGATTCTCACTATAAGGAGCTCACTCAATTGGTCAGGGAGAAGCAGCCAGCTGCAGTCTTGGGGGACTTCAATGCTGGTCAAGAGCAGTTGAAAAAGCGCGAAAAGAGTGAGGAACTTCGACAGACTGGAGACCTTGCTGGCAGCGACAGAATATAAGATGCTCGACCACCAACCCACATGGAAGGCAAGTAACTCTTCGGCAATGAGAACGGTTGGACCGAATCCTCGTGCGGCAGAACCGGGGCTTCAACAACACCAAGGTGACGTGGCATGAGGACTTGGCAGATCATGCAGTGCTCCAAACCCAAGTAGTAACATCAAGGATGATCTTCCGTCGGCACAGAAGACCATACTACTCCAAGCGGGGCCCAGTCGGGGACCTGTGGAGTGATGTTATACGGCAAATTCCCAAAGCGCAAACGACAGAGGCAACAGAAACGTCAGCGCTTATGGGATTTTGGAGAGCTCGGAAGATAAACAGGCCGCAAACACGCTACAAGCTGGTAGAGGACGACGGGCAGGAAATCCCAAGGAACTTGCATCTTCAAGCCATTGCAGGGGAGTTCAAAAAGATCTGGCAACAGCATCCTCCACGCACAGCTCCTTCTTCATCAGCGCAGACCTTCTATGATCCGCCAGATGAGGAGGAAGTGAAAATGGCTATAGATTGAAAAAGGGGAAAGCAAGAGGACCCGGTGAGGGCAGAAGATTTGAAGGCTCTTGGGAAAGAAGACATCCGAAAGATCGCAGAAGTGATCAAGAGTGCTTGGGAAAAAGAAGAAGTCCCGGAATCATGGGGTGAGATTGAAGACAATCCCTCTTCCAAAAGGAGAAACAGTGACCAGAAGGGATTGGAGGCCCGTCACAATCGAACCAATGATCCTGAAGCTTCTGAACACAGTGATCTTGCAACGGGTGAAGGACAAAGCCGAATCACTGCTTCATGAGAGCCAATATGGATGCAGAAATGGGAGAGGAGCGGACACAGCGGTGCAGCAGGTGGTCAACGCAGCAGAGAATGCGAAGAGATCCTCGAAACGGTACTCGCTAATCAGCACGGACTTTTCAAAGGCATTTGATTCGGTGCATCATGACATTCTCATAAGCCGACAAATTCGAGGATAGAGCTGTGTCCAACATCATCAGGTCACAGTACAAACAGCTCGAAACGAAAGTGAAGATGCCAGGCCAGAAAACACAAGACATTAAAATTACGAACGGCATCCTCCAAGGGGATCCCATCAGCCCAATCCTCTTCGTGATGGCAATGTCGCAAATCCACGAAGAGTTGGGAAAAAGATGCCCCGGTGCAACAGTAGTATCTTGTGTGGACGACATCCTGGGTGTTGTTCCGGAGGGGCAAGAGCGACAGTATCTAGAC